TCAACTGACTTACCACCATTATTCCCTAATACATTGCATCTAACCTCGCTGTTACTTGTCCGATGATCCCAGCAGATGGGAGCAATATTTTTAAGACATATGCTGTCAAATACTAGCAACCTACGAGTATGTTCTACTCTTAAAGCCCATGTTTTCGGAGCCATAAATTAAAACAGAACGAACTGCCGCGCAGTATACCCGTCCTTTTATTGATAGACGGATATCTCGCCTTCGCCATAGGTGACGTAAGTTGGCAAAAGCCAAGCGAGCTTTTTGAATCCGAGCTGAGATGTCGTCAGACACTAACTCATTAAGGCTGTTCAGACTTCCAAGAAAAGTGAAGTTGTCAACACGTTCGACTACTTCACTCCCTATCCTTAGTTCTGGTAATGACGCAGACCAGTCCTGAAGCGACTAATATAAGTAGTAGTATATATGTATGTAACAATATCTAATTCGTTCGTTCATAAATTATAGTCACAACATCAGCCAAGGTTCATATCCTCATCATAGATATGAATTAAGAGTTATACTTCTAGTAGTAACAACTTATGTTCGTGATATACACCAAAGATCCAATTACTAGGTATATACAGAAATTGCCACTTTTTATATTACAATGATAAACTGTTCAGCCATTTATTTATTTATTCAACGAGCCTTATTATCATCGTTTATATCCTTAAATTTTAGATAACGCAAATTCTATTGACTTGTCATGGTTCCAGACATCTGATCTATTTTATGTGTTAGATTCACCAATTGTAATCCTAACTACGATTTTTTTTATCCTGTGTCTATTATTCTATTTATAGCCTAGAGTCCTATCTTCATCATTCTGCTTCGTTTGACAGTAATGTGACAGTAAGTGAGATTCCTTACCTTTATTAAAATTTAAGGATATGATTAAAAGTAATCGATGGTAAGTGGTTTAAAATATGTCGTTATGTAATAAGGAAAAAAGTCTTACTATTATTATCGTTTTTGATTGAGATCATGAGCCGATTGATGTCAGATCAACGTTGGAAACCTGGAAGCACTGGACGGCCGTTTCATCCTGTTGTGGGACTACTCAGCAGTGCGCATCAACGATCCTGCCTCGCGGGATTCTAGCTCAGGGCCTTCAGGCTTGCAAACGAGCGCTTAACCTACTGGACCACTGAGCCGGCATCCAATGGTGTTAGTGTCAAGTATCAACTGATCCAATTCTTATTTGTTGGATTGGATGTAGATAATTCATTGCTGTCATGTGATTGATTGAAAATTAATTAGCATAAACTGTTTTGTTTCAATGTCTACATTTACATTTTAACAAATAGATTTACTTGGAATTGGAATTTGTGTAGATTGTAGTAATTTTAATAGGTGAATTCATGATTCAATTGATGTTAGACCATCAGTAAAAACCTGGAAGCTTTGGACGACTGATTCGTTCTAGTATAGGATTCCCTAGTAGTATGCATTCACTAAAAGAAACCAAATGTACTCACTATTGACTAACTTCGTGAGGGAATTCTTGGAGTTTTAGTGAGAAGCCATGATCAGTGAAACTAATCCATGTCAGATAGAGGCAGGTATTTACCTCAGTACAATGGAAAATGGTCGCGTAATTTTGTGGATTAATTAAGGTTAGACATCAATACAGTTGGATGTAAGCTCACTGGTCTAGAGTTTAAGTGTTCGCACTCGAGATCGAAAGTCCTAGGTGCGAGTCCTGCAAGCGGAATTGTGGATGTGCACTAGTGCGGAGTTCAATTGGTGATCTTACACCAATCGATTCATGATCTCAATCACAAACTAAATAATCTCCACAACTCCCTGCTGATGTAAACTAATTATTCTGATCTAAGTTAATGACTCTGGAATTTCTGCTCAAGTTCATTAATCTATTTGGTAATAACTCATTATATCTGATATCATTTGATAATCAAAACTATAATCATAAATCATTAATCCTAACTTAAAGTACCTTGCCGTAACCGAAGATAATGTAGAGATTCCTAAAAATTCGCTTGACTCCTTACAATGTTCCAAGAATTCGAACAATCTACATTCATAGGGACTTCTATTAGACTTACGGACAGAGTAACCAGAGGATGATATTCATACATTTATTATTAATGCAAACTCCTAACCCCAAATTTTAACTTTAACTCTTAATCCCAATCCAGATCTTAACATCAAATCCTATTCCTAATCAAAATCCTTAACTTAAACTTTAATCCGTACTATTGACCTATCTAGTAACCACAAATAATAATCAAAAGCCATTTGTTCAATCAGGATCCTGGAGCCCATGTGCTTAATTGGTTTGTAATGAGGGTTTTCCAACCCCATAGATAGATCATACGTGTCCACCAACCCACTTAAACCGCTGGACATCCTCTTTTCGTCCTCTCAATTTCGTAAACAACAGTAATGCCGCGTGAAGTTGGTGAGTGGGACTTCTCAGATAGTGGTTGTATGCACGTGGCCATGTGAGAGTATGTCTAGTGGAAGAGCTGACTTTCACCACTCTCGGCTGTACCATGGCATGCTTTAATAATACCATTTTCTGTCAGTTCAGTCAGTGATTTTACAGTCAGTCACACTAATTGAAGAGAGGAAATATTTATCTTGTGTAAGATGATGATTATGTCAGAAGATAATTGAATAGCATATAACTTATTCTTATTTAAATGGATGTGATTTTTATTTCATTAATGTTATAAGCTGTGGAAATCATCAAAATGTATCACGAAACAAGCACTGACTTGGAATTCTGAAGGGAAGCGGAAAAGAGGAAGGTCAATGAACACACTATGTTGGGAATTGGAAGCAGACATGAAGAGGGTGAATAGTAACTGTAAAGAATTGTCTAAGACAGAGTTGAAAGAGGAATGCCGATGGGCGATCTATGCTCCTCCACTAAGGGTAACAGGCGTAAGTAATTAAGTAAGTAATGTCAAAACGAAGGTTAACATTCCAATTGATTTTACTGGAAGTGGATTACATAAATACTACATAAATACATAATGCATTCTAAGCAAATATGAATAGCGGTTAGCAAGGAAATCCAAGACGTGCGTTTCGTCCCGTTTGAGACCCATCAGGTGGATGTACCTGCGCCTCATGTTTGTTGTTCACTCTCGGACGCGATCCTAAAAAGTAAAAAATGCTCATCCTGAATTCCACTTCTAGCCAGTAACTATCTTTTCTTACAAATATTTATATATATTTTAATTATGATCAATAAAAATTAATTCTGTTAGGGACGTTAGATTCACAGAACTCACTTGAGAAAGGACCTTATCTTGTAATTTTATACTGAAAATTTTAATTTCTTTTCGCGCCAAAGACTCTCTCGTCACCTTCATGCCGTATTTCCCACTCAGAAATATCTTGAATGCTATTAGTCCGTTGTATCTTTTAGTATGTTATTTTATAACGTTTCCTAAGGACGGTTTAGTACTGCATATATACGTTTAGAATCGTGTTTGTTGTTATAGCTCGTAATTCAGGTCTTTGTGGAATATACTTTTCCGTTTAGACTTCAACTTCTCTCACTCTCTAGTTAGCGGAGCTGGGAAGCAGTGGAATAGTCAGTTTATTGGTCTTTAGTCACAGAGTCTTTTGTTCCGTTCACAGACTAAGTGAACTCGTAATCGCTTCAACATAACAAATTCTATCGACATTTGTTTGGTTAATTTCATTCGAATAAAGTATATTTTTTTGATAGAGATCATGAACCGATTGATGTTAGATAATCATTGAAAACCTGGAAGCACTGGACGGCTCTTCCTTCCTATTGTGGGACTATTTAGCAGTACGCATCCATGATCCCACTCGTGAGATTCGAATCAAGGGCCTTCAGTCTCGCGCGCGAACGGTTAACCTACTGGACCACTTAGCCAGACTGCATCCAATGATATTAATGTCTAACCTCAACCCATCCACGAAGTTGCGTGACAATCTTCTTTGTAATGAGGTAGACACCTGTTTCTACCCGAAACGGATTACCTCAACTGGTCACGACTTCTCACCAGAATTTCAAGAATTTTCTCACGAAGCTAGTCACTAGTGAGCATATGGTAATTATCAGTTTAGGAGTTGTGGAGATTGTTACGTTTTAGTGAGAGTTGATTACATAAATACCTTTGATCATATGTTATAATGAACTACTAACGGATAGTGATCCAGTAGGTTAAGCGTTCGCACGCGAGACTGATAGGTCCTGGGTTCGAATCCCGCCAGCGGGATCCTGGATACTCACTGCCAAGTAGCAGTCCCACAATAGGACGAAACGGCCGTCCAGTGCTTTCAGGTTTTCAATGGTGATCTAACATCAATCGATTCATGATCTCAACCAATAACTTAACAATCTCCACAATCCCTGAACTGATCAAATATATTCATTATCAATTATCCAATGAAATACGAGCTTTCTTGGAAATGTCCCATATATACATATACATTCAGAAAGTCAGAATCATAAGTGAAGTTTCCAATTTATTTATTCATATTAACAAGCAATTACAATGAATGAATATATCAACAATTAATCGTCAACAAGAACCCCGCCCCTCAACCCCCCCAAATGATTGATTTCATTATGTATAAAGGTTTATTAGTATATAGCATATTATTACAAGTAGCGTATTACTTATTTAAGTAATAAGAGAAGAAAAAGAAATACATTCACAGTAAGCATAAACATTCAATATGAAGTTAATATAGGCAGATATGAGTTAGTATGAGGATAGATGAATATCCAATTAAATCCTTATTGATCCTAATGATAACAATAGTTGAGTAGTTGCCAATTAGATGTAATCCATTCACGAGCTGTTGTATATTATCAGCAATGATGATGTCTTTGTTAAGGATCATTTGTAATTTGTACAATGAAAGGTTGTATACTTTTTTTAGGAAGATACTTGAATAGATGATGAGACTAATCTATACACATATACATAGATATATCTATATATCAATGAAGATACATATTCGATTAGAAAAGGATAAAGTGTTACAGTTGGGGAACTGTTGAAAGTGAAGATCAATATAACGTTCATCTTTGTTGAAGATAAAAGTATATTGATTTCAATGATGTAAAGGATTGAGATGGTGGAGAAGATTTGTAGTTCAGATGGATGACTTTGATGGAGAACAAACTCCATCAAGAGGTAAAGGGTATGTAATAGGGTATATGTTCATTAGAATTTCATATTTCTTTGTTGATGTTGATCTAAAATAGAAAAAATAAACGATAATATATGTATATCAAAATATGATTATGATATGTTTATTAAAGGTTTAATCTACAAGGTAAGTGGACCGACATCAGAAAATACAATTACATGTTAGTCGGCAACCAATAATTAGTTAATACACTTTTTGTTTTCTCAGAATTCTGGAGTCTCTGTACACTACTCTAGGTGGGTCCACTAAATCCATCAATTTGGTCAGTGTCATTGCCAAGGAAGTCCTACTCACTGGCTTCTCACGGCATTACTGTTGTTTACGAAATTGAGAGGACAAAAAGCGAATGCCGACGCTTTGACAGGGTTGGTGGACATGGAGAACCCACCTATGGGAGTTGGAAAACCCTGATTCCAAACCAATGGTGCACATAGGCTTCAGGATCCTGAGGGGGCAAATAGCGTATGAATCTATTGTTGGTCAACCGGCCACCACGATACTGCATCTCCTTACGTTGCACCACAGCTTTGTGGACTAGACCTTCAGGTCGTTTGTGGCTTGGTCTGTGCATCAGTGCAGTGTCACAGTCCACACACAAATCAAGTGACTTGTGTGGTGCATATGTATTCAGTGCCCCTTTGTACAAATATTTATGTGTTCAAATAATAAAAGAAATAGTTGTTACTAATCCAACTGATACGATATTGTATAGACTGTGCTGAAGTACTAGATGATTGAAGGTAGTTGGAATAAATACCATCAACTGAGGTTTTGAGTTGGATGAGACTCATTAAGAAAAGACTGAACGTGATATTGGGTCAGATTAACCAATGTTCACGTTGTAAATGAATATGATATTGATCACTATTCAGCAATCAAACGATTGTAAATACATCTCAGTTCTACAGGAGGTTAGTCAGGGCTACCAATAGTTACCAGTAGTAACTCTTGAAACTGTAAAACCAGATGACATGAATTTAAATTTCACAGGAAGCTTCAATTTCCTCAAGATTATAGGTGACCTTTACGGGTAAGTTTCTATTAGCATGAAATGTGGATTAGTAAAGTGTCTTGCCGATTACATCTAATCAACTAACAAAATATGTTATCATCAATCTGTCAGTTCACAATGTTTCACGAAACGTTATCATTGAGTATCTTGCGTAGACAATAAATACTTATACCGTCTTGACGATGGTTGTAGTAGTTCTCTACATTTCATCTCCGTACAATAAAAGTGTCTTGAAGTCCATATTGAAGATTCTGACTTTGATGTTGTCTTGTAAGCAGTTGTTTTGAGTTCTATATTTTCTTCAAATGTAGAAATGCGGCCCTTGCTTTGCCGATCCTCGGATTATCCTTGTTGATCAATGATACTTCACAGGTACATGAAAGATTCCACATCTTTCAGAGTTTCTGTATCATGTGTTATTGTTCTCCATGTTATATCTGAAGATCTTACTTTTTCCTTTGTGTATGTTGAGGCCTGCTGCTACACAATTTGTCTTCATCTGCATTTGTTTATGTGTATGGGATAGAAGGGCTAATTCATTTGCGAATCACAAATCTTCTAATTGATTTCGAGCTGCTCATTTTATTCCGTGCTTTCCATCACATGTCGATGTTTTCATAATCCAGTCGACCACTGATAGAAGCGGAAGGGGAAGATTAAGTAATGTTCTCTGACTTCAGTGCTTACTTGGAATGCATCTGTCAGTAGTCGTCCAAAATGTTACCAACTACCTACTATTTGATACGCTTCTACGACACGTCAATAAATATTGTAAATTTACAGTTAATTAATCAATTTAATTTATCAGAGAAACAGTTATTAACATCAATGGTGACCTGGATTCTATTACAACCATTCAAAAACATAAGTTCATCCCATTGCACATGCGAGTGGCTATCAGGACTCAGTAGCTAAGTGGATAACGCCATGGCGTTTAAAGCGGACGGCGCTGAGTTCGAGTCCCGGAGTGAATGTCAACGCCGGGATGCAGGCACATCCAGCTGACGAGTCCCATACGGGAAAAAACGTGTATCCTGGATTCCACTACCACCCGCTGTCCATCTCTGCTAAAATCGAAAACTTAGTTTTTTGAATGTCGGAATAATCAGTATACTTTCAATAAATACTATAACCAGAGAGGGGTTTTGTAGATACTATAGTAATTTCAATAGTTGAATTCATAAATCAATTGAAGCTAGAGCACAGTGGAAAACCTGAAAGTACTAGACGGCCATTTCATCCTAGTATGAGACTCCTTAAGGTAGTTTCTGGTGTTCTAATGAGAAGCCATGACTGGTGGAGTTCAACAGGGTCTTTTATGAGTTAGTAACCCACTGAGGACAATCGTGGACAGTGTCGCGATATCGCGAATTGTTTGAGGTTAAACATTACCACTGTTGGATGCCAACCGCCTCAATAGTCTAGAGGTTAAGTGTCCACTAGCGTGAGACCGAAAGGTCCTGGATTCAAATCTTGCTCTCAGCTTACTAAAATTATCTCTAATCCAATTTCCTTTCCTTTCCTGAAGAACATTTCCAAGGTGTCAGTCAGTCATTAACAACGTGTAACTTTGTATTTACATACATCAGTTCGAGTTGCCATACCACATTAGCACAGAGATGGAGTTATCGATTCAAATCCCATAGTGGTAAAGGTAGTAAAAGTATAATCAGTAATAGGAAACATTTGAGTTTGAAGATGCTATTTTAGGAGTATAATCCACTGAAATAAATTTCGAAATAGAAAAAACAAAGAGACATGAAGAATTCAGAAGATTAGAATTTGGGAGGACACAAAGAGTGGATGCACCTGCGCCATTGCAAATGACTTTGAGCCATGTCATTCAGGGTCTCTAACCATCGGTTGCTATCGTCTCGCGGATCCCAACCAGGTAGTCTACATCTACCCACATGGCTCAGTCCACCTGTCAGTGACTTCATGGATTTGTGTCGTGTTTCGATCTTGCCTTTCATAGCTTTCTTCTAACCTACTCCTATACAACAAACATCGCACATCGAGGCAGTCGGTGGTTGGGCATACGTAACACGTGTCCCAGCCATCTCAACTGATGAAGTTTCAGTACTTCATCAATTGATTTGCCATCCTTACCTAGTATCCGTTCCCTAACTACTGTTTTACTTGCTCGATGGTCCCAGGATATAGGAGCAATGTTTCGAAGACATCTATGATCAAATACTAGTAGCCTACGAATATCCTCTACTCTTATCGGCCATGTTTCACTGTCATAAAGTTGAACGAAACGAACTGCTGCTCAGTAAACACGTCCTATTGTTGATAGTCGGATATCTCGCCTACGCCATAAACGACGCAAATTGGCAAAAACTAGTTAAGCCTTCTGTATCCAGGAATTGATAACTGCACCCATACCTCTAACAACACTCAAGATCACTGTCTACCTTTCATTGAATCTTCAATTCAACTATTATAATACTGTAATCTTTCTTAAATCTTTATCACTTCAATCATTTACTTAACTCATTTCCTTGACTCCTTATTTGTATAAACTACCACCTTTCGTAATTGATTGGTCACTGGGTGGCGACCAATGTCATGTGTGTCAGGTCCTTAATAGTGCAGGTCGCATGCTATCGACCATGATGTAATGTGGCCGCCAGTCTAGGTGACTCGACACTTCGTGCACCATACATTGAGATTAGATGGTGGTTGGAGGTAGTCAACAGGAAACCCTGGACCCGGGTTTCGTGCTACTTAACACTCTTCAGCAAAGTGTACTTATAATCTTGACGGAACTGGTGCTCCCTGACAGATCCGATCCCGTCTGACCCAGCTTCACAGTCAGAGACGTTACCACTGAGCTATCTTGACCGTGATTGATCTGCCGTAGGACTGAGATGTAGTCACAATTGATTGATCATTGGGTGTTGACCAATGTCATGTATGACAAGTCCTTCTTAGTGCAGATCGAATCTTATCGACCATGATGCAATGTGACCACCAGTCCAGGTGACTCAACACTGTGTACCCAGGTCCAGGGTTTCCTGTCGACTACCTCCCACCATCATCTAACTATCATCTTTCACTTACATTGATCATCATAATAACTATGGTCATATGTAGGTGATAAATATGAATTCGTATATGTTGAATAAACAATAGAATTTCCAATTGTTCTATGTAATGATGATTGTATATGTACATCATGATTAAAATGATCATTTGTCAATGTTCCATTCATAGAACTACTCAAATGATTAATTGATAGATTTGATGTATTGAATGAAGTATACTTTTGTCCTATCAATTGATTATTATTATGATAATAATAATCATTAGTGTTATTATTGTTGCTATGGTTACCAGTGTCATATGAGCAAGGTAATGAACACATTGGATTTGTTTGTAAATGATTTGTGTAATGAAATGGATCATTATAAGTAGTATTACTACTAGTAGTAGTATTGACATTTAGATGATCATTTATTGATTGATGAATGATATTTGTATCTGGCCAAATTGATTGATTATTATGATTATTGATTTTCGATGAATATTGATATTTTTTATTGGTTGATAAACAAGTAATTAGATATGGTTTCTTTAATGATTGATAATGATTTTTGGTTGTTGTTGTTGTTGATATGATAATTGGATGATTGAGTTTTTGTTTACAATAAGACTGTATCCATATCATGATACTACTTATAATAATAATAATCAATAATATCATTGAAATAATCCATAAAATCCATAAAAATTGATTCTGATGATGATGGTGATTAGATAACCAAAATTTCATTGTTTTATGATTCGAATGGATGATTGATTGATTATTGATTATCGATGGATCAAATGAATGAATTTTAATGAAAAATTGTGTTTCATTTGATGATAAAGATGGTATACCCATATCTTTAAGTGATATCTTGATATGATAGATCCCTTCAATAGGTGGATCATATGATGGATTAGTATCCATATTAATCATTGTGGAATCATATAATGAATCCATGAACCAATTTGTATATAATTTACCATTCGATTCATTTAAATAAAAATATTGACTACCATTAGTCAATGGATTTAATTGATATAATATAGTACCATTTAAGCCATGATCTGGATCATAACCTTTCAATTGTATAACGAATGTATAAATTGGTGTGTTTGTATAAATCATTATGGAATGATCTGGATCTGGATCATGATCTTGATCTGGATCATAATCACCAATAATACTATTATAAATAGGATATGTACATATTGGTATATTATCATTTTCATCTAATATATTGATAGTTAATGTATATGTTATACTATTTATTGATTTTATATTATTATTATCAGTATTATATGTAATAATTTGATAAAAAATTTTATTGATTTTTTCACGATCAATAATTAATTGATTAATCAATATTGCTTTTAATTCATATTCATTCATTAATTCATTTTGATTGATTTGTTTATAATGAAAATTGATATCGGGTATAATTTTAATATAATGATTATATTGATGATTGATTGATTGGTTATTGATCGATGGATTATTGATTGATTGAGTATTGATTGATGGATTATTATTGTCTAATAATAAATGTATCATTGAATTGCTGGAATCTTTATCTAAATCAATTAAATGTATAAAATCAATAAAAGTATTGATTTTTTGATTTTCTTGAAAATCAATATTGATATGATTATTATTATATAATATTGGTAAATGATCATTGATATCGATTAATTGTATAATTAATTGTGTTTGAGTAGTTAAATTTCCTTTATCTTTAGCTAATATATTTAAATAAAAATATTCAATTTGTTCACGATCTAATAACTGATTATGTACTACTGTAATGATACCATTGAGTGGATGAATTTCAAATGGTTGTTCATATTCATTTGGATGTCTTGAATACTTCGAATGATCTGGATCTTCTTCATCATGATCAGGATCATGATCACCAATATAATTGAATGTAATTGATTTTAATTGATAAATTAATTGTCCATATTCACCTTTATCTAAATCATAGGCTTTCATTTCAGTAATATATGATCCATCTGATAGATGTTCTGGTATTTGAATAGAATATTTGGATTGTTTAAATATAGGTATATTATCATTTTGATCAGAGATAGCTACAGTGATACGAAATTGATATAGATGTTTCAATAGATCCTTCTGTTGAAAGTGTTGTAAAGTGAAATTTACTTTATTGAATGGTTCTATATCAGCGAAATCATAACAGTCAATTAATAATGAAGCATATGGAGTCTGTTCATAATCAAATATACCTTTTGTAAATATAAAAAATACACTATCAGAGACTGGATGTAAACGTAGATAATCTTGACCAGCTAGAAGTTCTTTATCTTGTAGATGATTTGATTCTAATGAAGTTGGTTTACAAAGGATCTAAAAAGAAAAACGCCAATGATTTTAATGAAAGTTTATTGAATTCACGCATCCACGATCTCGCTCGAGGGATTCGAACCCAGGGCTTTCAGTCTCGTGCGCAAACGCTTAACCTACTGGACCAATGGTGAAAAGTCCCAGGATAGGATGAAACGTTTTCAATGGTGATCTAACATCAATCGGTTAATGATCTCAATCAAAAACTTAACAAGCTCAAAAACCCTTAAACTGATAATCTTATATATTTTGGTGGAGTTTTGTTCTGTGAATTGGATGGCTTGATCGTGGAGATTTCATCCTTCTTCTGAATGCCGTTATCCGCAGCACAAATTTCAAGTGAAAGTGAAGTGTTCAAATTTCTTCATATGGAATTCACAGCTTGTCCTGTACACCTCGATGTTGATTGGTTCTTGTTGATTTTAAACTTATAATCGTTTACTTCTTTGTTTTGGTTATATCTCCCATTGGTTTGATTTTTGTTTCTACGTTTGTGCATTATTATGCACATATGGAGAAATTCGGACACTTCACTTATACTTGAAGTTTGTGCTGACGATATCGTTCAGAAGAACAATGAAAGTACCACAACCAAACCATCCAGTTCAGAGAACAAAACTCCATTAAAATGATCCACCTGAGCTACAAATATTCTTCACCATCTCAATCTCATATATGTTAAGTTTTAGAATGATACTTGTTACTCGTTCAGAGTAGATGTTATAATATCCAGGTATTTTAGCCTATTAACACTTATTTACTTAATTACGCCTGTTACTCCTCGCTAAGGAGCATAGGCCGCTCACCAGCATTCTCCATCCAGACCCGTCCTGGGCAATCCTTTCCAGCTCTTTACAAATGTTATTTATCCTTTTCATTTCTGTTTCTATTTCCCGACGTTATGCGTTCATTGGCCTTCCGCTTTCCCACTTCCCCTCAGCATTCTAGGTGGGGGCTTGCCTTGTGATACAGTTTGGGGATTTGCGTTATGTATATCCTATCCATTTCCATCGTCTTTCCCTAATTTCCTCTTCCGCTGGAAGCTGGTTTGTTCTCTGCCACAGAAATCTGTTGCTGATGGTATCAGGTTAATGGATTTTGAGTATTTTGCAAAACAATTATTTCTAAATACTTGTATTTTCTTGATGATAATTGTGGTAGTTCCCCAAGTTTCAACTCCGTACAGTAGAACTGTGTTGACATTCGTAATGAAGGTTCTGACTTTAATATTGGTTGGAAATTGTATAGAGTTCCTTATATTTTTCAATTGTACAAATGTGGTTCTTGCTTTGCCGATCCTCGCCTTTACGTCTGCACCAGATGCTCCTTGTTAATCGATGATGCTTCCCAGTTATGTGAAGGGTTCTACATCTTCCAGAGTTTCGTCATCAAGTGTGATTGAGGTGGTGTTCTCCGTTTTGTATTTCAGCACCTTGGTTTTGACTTTGTGTATGTTGGGGCCAACTGATGGTAGCCTATTAGTATGTAAACGTAATGATAACGGCAATTAGAGAACAGTGGTTTATCGACCGAACTCACGACTCGTAAACCCGTACAAGCAGTCAAGATTCTTTAACGATGCTCTCTTGTTTTTAATATAACTGCAGTTAGTACCATTGATGCAGATAGGATATCAGTTGTTATAACACTTGTACGTTTGTACTCCTATCGATGTATGATATAACGATACCGTCAATTAGAGAACAGTGGTTTATCGACCGGACCAATGACACATAAACCTGTACGAGTAGTCTAGATCCTATAACGATCCTTCTTCCTGACTAGCCCTGCATGCCTGTTGAGTCCAGGACACCAATCTCAGCTTCTGCGATATAAACATACTCGGTTTATATACAAACAAAACAGGTCACATTCTATCATAAAATTCAAAACAACATTTGCAGATCTAACCAAATGTGGCTGTGAAGGTGGGAGAGTGTAATGAATAGACTGAGCATAACTCAAGAACGGTAAATTGTATAATAATAGTCTATGAGTCAAACCGAAGCTTATAATAAAAATAATATGAATATACATGGTTTAGTTACTTAACATTTTGCAGTGGAATCCACATCCTGGAACGTGAATCATAGATTTCACTACTAGCCACTATCCATCTAAGCTTATAATGCTTGTGAATTAAGGTCACATGCATAGTATGCCAATAAGAGTCTGATCAATTGTAGTCATAAACATTAATTAGAAGATTCAAGTAGACAATACTAAGTGAATCCAATACATTGTAGTTGTTAATTAGCAAAAGCTAAAAGCGTTAATCACTCGAAATCAACTCGATGAGTTTAAAAACAAACAAACAAACGAAGCACTCAGTGATGAGAACATTATCTTAGGTCCGACTTCCGGCAAGATCATAAGTGTACATTGTTATTCAATCTTTATCCCTGTTCGAAACTATGAGAAAACAACAACAACGACAAATATGTAAACTTCTTTTCATTTGCATCTATTTCATTATAGACGCAGGATCATTTTAATTAGTTTCGTAATACCTTCATTCATCTTATTACAAATGTTTATTTCTCATTAGGTAAACAATTTCCGGTCATCTTTGTTATTGTTATGACCTCTTCTTCTTCTTCTTCCTCTTCTTCTTCTTCTTCTTCTTCTCAATCTTCTCCTTCTTGATCTTCTATTAATGGGACCATTAATCATGTTTGTCAAATAAGTGATTAGTTTATTGCGTGATACACATTCTCCAGGTAGAAACGTGTACATAGTATTGATCAATCAGTAAATGAATCAATTTATCTATTATATTAGTATTGGACTAATAGGTTGAAGGTCTCAGATGGTGGGTGGAAGTAGACAACAGGAAACCCTGGACTCGGGTTTCCTGCTATTTGGCACTCGTCAGCAAGGTGTACCTGTAATCTTGAGGGACCTGGTACTCCCTGACGGATTCGATTTCGTGTCACCCAGCTTCACAACCAGAGTCGTTATCACTGAGCTATCCGAGCAGCGACCAACCTCCTGTAGGACTGAGATGTAATCACTTTTGATTGATCACTCGATGATGATCAATGTCATGTGTGTCAATTCCTTCTTAGTGTAGATCGAATCCTAACGACCAAGCTACAACGTGGCCGTCAGGGAGCACCAGTTCCATCAAGATTATAGGTACACCTTGCTGACGAGTGTCAAGTAGCACGAAATCCGGATCCAGGGTTTTCTATTGACTACCTCCAAACACTATCTAATCTTCAACAATATGCATCTAAGATCCTGAACATGGGACACGAACTCAGTATTTTCGGCATCCAATTGTATTCATATCTTACTTCATCTAACCTACGACATTGTGCCACCGTCCACCATTGTCTTTAGTGACTTACTGTCTCACAACAGACATGGTTGGACTCCACTAGTCACGGTTTCTCATTAAAACTCCAGGATACTCATCCTGAATAATAGTTATTATCCGAAACGGTGTTTTGTGGAAATTATAGTTAATTTAATTGTTGAGTTAAAGAATGGATTAGAATTAGACCAACCATGAAAAACTTGAAATCATTGGATGACTGTCTCGTTCTCGTATGGGTACTCCTCCTCAGTGCATATTCGCGATCTTGCATGCACAATTCACATCCAGTATCTCCAGTTTTCGCGCCTACAAGGATCGATTTCACGACCAGCGATCTCCGAGTGAAAACGCTTAATGTTCAGACCAATGAGCCGATATTACTATAATCTCCACAAAAACAACTTCAATCTAAAAGTAACAGTTTCTTAGTCTTTCCACATGGTGATCACAAGTTTGGAAAATCATACAATTTCCACCCTTCTATTTTGTTGCTATTCTATGGAGAACTTTCATTCAAGTGAATGTCTGTTTTCTACTTTTAAAATCCCCCAAAAAATAACTGTAATCAATAAATTATTATAACAGCTGTCATTTTGATTCGTTTTGTTCACATGTATGGTTTATTCTGGTTAACGTTTCTTTTTTTAGGGGGGAGGCAAAGTTATTTTCTATGGGTTGGGGTTACTGACGCTATATCTAACCAGCCTCCACTCTTTTTTGTGTGGGCTTGGGATCGGTAATACCCTTAAACGTGCTACAAGTGGAGTTGTCAGCATTTATACATTCATAGATACTACATTATCTCGTTCAAATATAAATTGTTAAAATGAGACGATAGATGACATAAAGAATTTTAATTGATATCATGAACTGATTGATGTAAGACCACCATTAAAAACCTGGAATCACTGTACGGCCATTTTGTGGATGTGCACTGCTGAAGAGTCCCACAATAGGGCGAAACAGTCATCCAGTGCTTCCAGGTTTTCAATGGTGGTCTAACAACAATCGGTTCATAATCTCAATCGAAAACTTAACAATCTCCACAACCCTTAAACTGATAATTACCATATGCTCACTAGTGACTAGCTTCGTGAGAAAATTCTCGGAGTTCTGGTGATAAGCCGTGACCAGTGGAGCTAATCCGTGTCGGGTAGAAACAGGTGTCTACCTCAGTACAATGGAAGATGGTTGCGCAATTTCGTGGATGGGTTGAAGTTAGACAATAACACCATTGGATGCCGATCGGCTCGGTTTTTCAGTAGGTTAAGCGTCCACAGGCGAGACTGGAGGCCTTGGGTTCGAATCCCGCGAGCGAGATCGCGGATGCGCACTGCTGAGTAGTCCTACAATAGGACGAAATGGCCATCCAGTGCATCTAGGTGGCAAATTATTCAATGTTTATTATTAGATAAATAATTAATAGTAAATATATGTTTCTTATTTGTAGAATTAATGAATGTGAAATTTATCTTTCTTCCCCCCCCCATCCACATCTGTAATACTTTCTCATTCTGTTACCCTATCACACTCCATCCTCACCTCCAGTGAATGCATTCGATACACAAAGAAATAAAAATCATCCTGTTCTAAACTTAAAAATGTAGAAAAGATGTTTTGATATCAACTCACTCACTCATTCCTTCATCCATTACTTCATTGAATTTCCTTAACTTCAATGGATCATCCTACCTCTCACAACCATCACCTATTACCACCACCACCATCATCATTATCATCATCACCCTCATCAAATACAAAATTTCATTCATGTTGTACGATTTTATTGCTTTTGATTATCCTTTTAAACTTTTTTTATTCTTTCAAATGGAATTCTGTTTATGTACAAAGTGTAACGATACAAAGTAAACAAATAAATAAATAAAATTTTGTCAACAAATGAGATAAGAAAAGAAATAGTATTGATAATCATAATAATCAGAAGAGGGAGGGAGGAGGTGGAGGAGGAGGAGGACAATAAGGTTGTGTTGGTAACCAACACTACCCCCATTTTGTCTTTATTTATTTTTATCAATTTTCTTTAAACTTCAATTACGAAAAAAAAGAAAAAAAATTTTTGTAAGTCAATTTTTGTTTATCTGTTTTTCTCTCTCTCTCTCTGTTTTGTTTATTAATTAATGAAGATGAAAGTATTGAAATACTCATGTCATTTCTAATAGATCAACGTTCAAATCTCGCGGGGGGCGGGATCATGGATGCGCTCTACTGAAGAGTCCCATACTAGGATCAAACGACCATCCAGTGCTTCCAGGTTTTCCATGGTAATCTAGCTTCAATTGACTCATGATTTCAACCAGTGAAAGAAAAACGTATTATTGAAGAAATAACATTTCATATGAGCTGAATTCCTATTGGCTGTTACTTTATCAATCAATATATTGATTCTACCCAAAAATGGATATTAGCTAATAGTAGAATCTAGTTTGATGCTCGTTTTGTCCTATTTGGGACTTGTCAACTGGATTCATCTTCATGTTAGAGTTGATATTCACTCTTGGATTCGAACTGAGTACCATTCACTTCAAACACTATTCGTTATCCATTTAGCTACTGGTGTTGGTATTCAATTGAACGATTCATTCATTCAACCGAAAAAATCATCTGTCTAGATTTTCTATATGAGCAATAATAGTTTTACAACTATCTTTACATCCACTTGGTATTAATTACGTGAATCTTCCGACTATTGTTTAGGGCTGCAATCGATCAGTCTTTCTCATTAGCATATGTGCATCCTGTACGGATTGCCTCAAGTCACATAAGTCATCATAAGCGAAGATGTATGGTGGCTAGGAGAGGAATCCAGGACAGGTGACTTATCCTTTTTGGGACTCTTCAGGTTGGTTTACCTGCTTTCCAGAGATTATGTTCATTCCAGAACTGGAACCCAGTACCGTTCGCTTCAAACGCCATCGCATTTTTCACTTACCTAACGAGTCTTGATAGTCATTTGTGTTTCTGTAATTGGGTGAATTTAAAATTCACTTGGTATTTTTGTTTACTTGAATCGTGCAATTGATCAGTCTCTTATTAGCATATATGCATCTTCGACATTGTCTTAAGTCACAATTACTTTTAGTCAAAGATGGATAGTGGTTGACGAGTCTCAAATAGAACGAAATGTGTGTCTTGAATCCTGTTGCTAACCACTATCCATCTTTACTTATACATCTTCACATGATCAAATATTCTTGATGTGTAGTAACTTAATATCAGTATCCTAATCTTCGATTTACAAATATACATGTTAACCAATCGCTGTATTTACTTTTCAATTAAGAGTAAACACAACATGACGTTGAGATAAGGAGCTCGACTCTGGTCGATTCCATGGAATAGTTTAGTTTAATCATCATTCTGTCTTATATCATCTAAAAGTACTGGAAATCCCATAAGATAAACTTGTCCATAGAAGGAATATAGATGTACAAAAATGTATCATTCTATATTATAATAATAGTAATACTATCAGTTATGGACGACCTTTGAACGACGCCAGCCTGACGTTGAGAGTGTGTCTACCTAATTACTAGGACCAAATGAAGGTTATAAATTACTGTGAGGTTAACGTTGCTGATTCAATGTGGACGGTTTTCATCATGAACTAACATCAGCTGAAATGTCATGAATCTAGTTAACCGAATGGATAAGTGAATTTCGTGTGAAAATCCAAGATCTGTTTTTTTATACATGATTGATTCATCTATAAATTATATTCTTGCCACTATTGTTAATATCAAAACAATTCTAATGTATGGAGCAAAAACTTGGAGAACTACAGTTATCTACACAAAATACTTCATATCCATTGACTAGACACTATTAATAACAACCAACGGTGGGAGAGAACAAAGCAGATCCTTGCGGAAGATGTGGTAAGCACATATTGAGGAAAGCAGCCAACTACGTCAAAACGCAAGCCCTCACTTAGAATCCTCAAAGTCAAAGGAGAAGAGCAACACCAAATAACACATTACGTCGAAAAATAGAAACAAACGTGAGAAGAATAAACAACGATTAGATAGAACTAGAAAGGAAGGCGAGACTATTATTTATGGACGGGTCATTCAGAAGCCTTTGAGAGATTTCAATTTCATGGCGTCAATCACTGTACTTGATGCTCACATAAGATCGGTTTGCTGTGGATTTTAGAGAAGATGTGATAATCGAGTGGCTACAACAGATGATACTAATAAGAAGCGAAAAATTAACAGAGGAAGACTTGGTAAGCAGCACTTCCATAAATATACCTCACAGGTATTTGGAATTTACGGCAGATCAACCCAAAGGCGATGCTTCCGAAAGGTCAGAAACTGACAAGCAACGACAATAATACCAATTATACGGGAATATGTGCAGCCGAGTACCACAATATATATGGATGATTGATGAGCCTACAGATGTCTGGATAGACTTGGATATGTGCATCATATTGTTGTCTATAGGCGCCATTTTGTGTACCGGACAACAGCATTGCACACTAACAATATTAAAGTTATGTGATCCACGCTAAAGGAGTTTTTGCAACGTTATCATGGCTTGAGTGATCGACTATTACACAGCCGTATCGATGAGTTCCTCTGCCGTATACACTACGATTTCAGAACGTCTAGACCTCTTTCAAACTTTGATAAGTTTTCGAACCATGTAAAAGAAGTATATTCACTTTAATTCCTTGGTTTTTTATATTTCTATTTTATACTAACTGTCTTCTGATTGGCTAATATTTCCAAAGGTCAATCAAGATTCGTTCAAAGGTCGTCCATCAATTAGAGTCTCACCGAAAGGAATGCTCAAGACAAATTAGATTGGATGAATTACTAGTCGGCAACTTCAGTCACTATGATCAGAATAACTTACTTTCCCATGAGATACTTCATCTTCATCCTTAATGTAAAATCGTATAATTGGTTTTGTAAATAATTGTCCTTCAGGTATAGTCATATTCTTTTGTATCATTAATGTTGGTATATTATCATTAATATCTTTAATTTGAATAGAAATCGACGTCGTGCATGATAATGGTGGACTACCAGAATCCTTGACAATAATTGGCAACAAGAATTGACGTTGAGAATATACTTCATAATCTAATGGTTCACGTATTCTAATCGCACCATTGATTGAATCAATATGAAATTTCATTGGAATCAGACTATTAGCTAATGGACTAAATGAATAGATTAAACGACTATTCTCACCAGAATCAGCATCTGTTGCATTCACTATATAGAATGGTTTATTATCTAATGTTGTATTCTCTGGTAATGTAATGTATTGTTCTGGCTTTGTAGATTGCTTCATAATAATCGGGGGATTATCATTCATATCTAATAAACGAATGATAATTGATAATGAACCAGTTAATGATGAATCACCTCCATCAATGGCATAGAATGTAGCATAGATTTCACGATCATCTATATTTTCATAATCTAATGATCGAAGAAGTATTAATTTTGGATTGATTGAATGAATATGATCATATGTCATAGTAATATTTAATCGAGGTTCTTTCACAGGATCTCCATTATTTGTATATTCAATGAGTTGATACATCACTATACCATTGAGTTCAGAATCTGCATCTGAAGCAATAGGTAAACCTTCAAATCCATTTGTATCCCCTTCACGTATATAAATAATAAATGGTCTATTCAATAATTGTTGTTGTGATCTATTGAATGAATCATATTGAATCATATTCGTTGACATAAAAAAACGTGGTGGATTATCGTTTGCATCATTAATTCGTATATATAAATGTATCATACTTTGTTGTTGATTAGATTCATTCAATTTTATCGAGTTTCGTCTCAATTGTTCTTCATCTTCATCAGGAATACGATGATCTTTCATGAATGAATGATTCACTTCATTCAAATCATGTTTCCAATGAGTATTCCATTGTTTAGTTAAAATGATATTCGCTTCAATTTGACATACGAGTAATGGACAACAATTTAATGGACCACATATATCATTTGTATTATCACGATCTATATGACGTAATGTGATGATATCACCATTCGATGTAATTTTTATATAATCATTGATATATTGAAATTTCATTGATGTAATGAATAAGTATGTATAGTTTCTTATAGGACTGAATGATAAATTTTCTGCTATATTACCAATTAATGAACCAGTTGGTGTTTCATCAGCAAGATTATAAATCATGATTGGGATTTGAGGACTACTTATAATTGATTTAAGTAGTAAAATAATTATAAATAAAATATTTGGATAACAATTATGATGATATTGCATCATTGATTAATCTTCTTGTGAATGAATATAATTGCTTGAGAAGTAAAGAAATGAAATGGATAAACGAATACGATAGAGAATACCAAGCGAATAATAAATGAAAACATTTTCAGCTCAAATCGATTGTAATTAGTGTCTATTGTTCGGAAAGCATAAAACATCCTGATCCAACTAATGTATATAGTATATAAGATAATATACTTTTGTGGGATAGGGTAATGTTACATTGGTGTTTTAGGAGAACCGGACACTATTCAAACGTTCATGTGACAACTCGATCAGTATAGCTCAATCCCGTTTGATAGGAGAGAACGAGACACCATATAGGCGTTAACTCCACACTCTGTATAGTACAGGTTAATTTTGTGGCGCAACCACATAGGTACCCAGCATCCTGGCGAACTATTCGCATCATTCATATGCACATATACATCGTATGTATAGTTATTCTGATCATTGTGTTATATCCTGACGAGAATAATGAATGGTAACTGTTGGGATCCATTTATGGACCAATACTATACGTATATTTTTATCATATTACAGATAAATGATATTCATGTTCCCCTTATTATAAGTTGTATTTTGACCTATTAACTATAATTATACGATTTACCATTCTCGAGTTATGCCTTGTCTATCAATTACTATCTCCCTCATTCATAGCCAACATTTGGCTAATTCTTGTACAAATGTTGTTTCATATTTTGTGGTACGATGTGGTCTGTCTGGTTGGTATATAAGCCCAGTATGTTTGAAATAAATCATTCATGTCGCAGAAGCTGAGATTAATGTTCTGGACATAACTGGCTGGGCTAGGCGGGAAGCAGGACCGAGAAGCACTCTAGACTGCTCGTATTTGATTTTATGCGTCATTGGTCCGGTCGATAATTCACTGTTCTCTAATTGACGGTATCATCGCGTTATACATTAACAGAGCACACAGGTCACAAATTATAACACAATGATTGCGTAAATCAATTGTGCACAGCATGAACAGGCCAAAGGTGAACTATTCCACTTACATGACAGTCGAACTCATTAATGTTAACAGTGATGATATTCCTTCTTGATATTCTAATGACAATAACCGATGAGAACATTGAAAAGCAACCACCAGTATGAATGAAATAGGTTAATCCGTAAACACCAAAGCTTACCAAAGTAATGCCGAATCATTCACAATATCAATAACGAACCTCCAGTCTCATAAGAAACTTTCAGCTCTACATAGAAATATAGATTATACTAATGTTGTATACATTTGCTTAGTTTAAGTTGAGTTCTGTAACTTCCTAAACAATAATAAATGAGCTATTCAATTGGTGAAATGTAAACAATTTAGAAACGGGATTAGATCCATTTCGATGTAACATGTCATATTTCCTGCCAGGAAAGTGAGAGATCAGTCAGACAAGATGAGAATCAGTTAATACACAATGATAAAAGCTCGAAAGGAAGGCTCAATACAGGTAATATGGTTTGAAAGTAATGAATGCAAGGAGAGATTGAATTGCACGGATTATCATCCAACCTAGGATTAAGAGAAGAACAATTTGATTTGGAACACCTGATTTCCAAAATTGTAACTATAAATTCAATCAGGGAGTGACCACGTACGGTCATAGTGAACTTCAATGTTTGTATCTTCATGGAAATATCTATCTACCATCAACAAATAATGAAAAACACTAGACGGCGTTTTCATAAACGTCCGAGACTCCTCGGTAATCGTCATGTATTCGACTTAATTGAAGATTGAAACTATAATATTCCAAGCAAGAATCCTTGACTTATGCTTTAACAATTTTGGTAGTTAATCAGCTAGTCAATGATAATTGGACTACTCCAGCTGAAGACAATGGGTTCGTTTTATTGTGGTGTTGTTTATGCACACTTATGACGGCCGATTCGATAGTTTAGAGGCTAAGCGATCGTGCACAAGACCTATAGGTCCTGAGTTCGAATCTCGAGAGTGAGATCGTGAATTCTCATTGCTGAGAATTTCTATACTGGGACAAAATGACCATCCAGTGGTCCTAGGTTTTCTATGGTTGATCTAACCTACATCGATTCATGAATTCAACTAATAAGATTATTACAATCTTCACAAAACCCATTCTGATAATAATCATCAGACGCTCACTAGTGACTGACTTCAACATCATTCCCTGGATTGACAAACAATGACCAGTTTAGTCTAATCCATGTTGGGTAGAGATGGGTATCTACCTCAGACGGTGGATGGATGATTGTGCAGCCATTCGTGGATATATATTGAATTTAAACATTCACACTGTTGGATGTCGCCCGGCATAGTAATTTATAGGTTAAGCGTTCACATGAGACACCGATAGGTTTTGGGTTTGAGTCTGTCGTGCAGGATCGTAGATACTCATTGCTAAAGAGTCCTATGCTAGAACAAAACGACCGTCCAGTACTTCATCAAATTAGATCCTAATAAACCTATTTTCTAAGTATCAATGAAGTGTTATATATACCTACATATATATACTATTTATATCCATGATTTAAATAAACAAACCACTTTTACTATAGTGAATAGATTCAATATTCAATTGTATATCATTCATTTGAATGTGTCATTCATCCCAAGGTCAACAACAAGATGACCTTAAAGTTAATTGAATATTGAAATAGAATGAAAAACGAATCACTTTTATGACTTTTATGGCTTATGGATATTATTATTATTATTAACATAATGATACCATCAATTAGTGAACAATGATTTATCGATCAAACCTACAATGCATAAACTTGTATGAATAGTCTAAATACTTTAACGATTTTCTGTTGTTTTTAATAGAACTGCAGCTATTACTATTGATGAAGATGGGATATCAGTTGTCAGTACACTTGTAGGTTTATACTCTTATCAATGTATGATGTAATGATACCATCGACTAGAGAACAGTGATTTATCGATCGAATCTACGATACATAAACTTGTACGAGCAGTCTAGAGTCTTTATGAATCCCTCTTCTTGACTAGCTCTGTCTGCCTCTTAAATCCAGAATGCCAATAATAGATTCCACTAAGAAAATCATTCATTTTAAACATACTGGGTTTTATATGCATTAGCGGCCAAACAGACCAAAAAAATAGGAAATAAAATTAGTATAAGATCAAACCAGATGTAACCATAAATGTAGAAGACTGTAAGGAATCAACTGGGCATAACTTAAGAATGATAAATCGTATCATAATAATTCATGGATCAAATGAAAGCTTATAATAAAACAAATATGAATATATATCATTTAGTGAATGAATAATTATACATTAAGAAATATCTGTATCCTAATAATCCATTAATAGATCGTGATCATTATCATCCTCCTATTCTCATCGAGATAAAACAAAATCAACAAAAAAATTATCTTACAATGGTTGAGATCATGAATCAATCGAAGCTAGACCACCATGGAAGACCTGGAAGAACTGGACAGCCGTTTCGTCCTATTGTTGGACTTCTCAGCAGTTGTGAGGCAGTAACTTACTGATGACAATGGTGGATGTGTCGCTCAATTTCGTGGATTAGTTGAAGTTAGACATTAACACCAGTGGTTGCCAGCTAAGTGCTCTATGTGGTTAAGCGCCTGGCCCGGGACTGATAGGTACTGGGTTCGAATCTCGCGAGGTAGGGTCGTGGATGCGCACTGCTCTGAGTCCCACGATAGGATGAAACGGCTGTCAAGTGCTTCCAGGCTTTCCATGTTTGTCTAGCTTCAATTGACTCATGATCTCCACCATTGAAATTACTATTAAATCCACAAAATCCCTTCTGATACTGGAAAATTTATCAATAATTCAATGAAAAGAAAAAAAATCGGTCATTTAAACAATTCGATTCATTTAAAGGAGAAAAACAAAAACAGAGAAAAAACAAAAACAAAAATAAGAAAAAGAAAAAAATAAAAGAAACGTGTCAGAAGTTTTCTCAATTTACTTATTTATTTTATCAAAATTAATGATCAAGGTTGAAAATTCATTTTTTCAATTGTTTATCATAATGAAATATTGAATATTGAATAAGAGAAAATTTTAATGAATGAATACACGTTATGTATAATGGTATTTGTTGATTGTTATTGAATGAAATGATCTTACCAAGTAATGAATAGATAGAATATCACACATTGAACGGATTGAGTGATTAAGTATGTGAATGTGTGTGTGGGTGAGTGAGTGAGTAAATAAGTCAACATATGTACCACATAAACTGATCGATTTGTGTGTCAGCTGGGATACTACCCAGGTACGTAGACTGAAGCAAATGGTTTTCTTAGTGGGCTACATCCCAGAGCCTTTGACCTAATGGACTTATCCATCAGGCAATATAGTAAGGTAACGAGATGCAGTTCTTTGGTAGCCAGTGATCAACAATTGGTTCATACGTTATTTGTTCCATCAGGATACTAGAACCCATGAAAATCATTGATTTGGAATCAGGATTTTCAAAATCCATTGAGTAGATCATCCGTATTCAGAAACCTGGTTAGAATACCGGACATTCGCTTTTCATCCTCTCAACTTTGTAAACAACAGTAATGCTACGAGAAAACAGTCAGTAGGATTTCTCTGGCAGTGGCTGTATACGCATTGCCATGTTAGATCATTTGTAGAAGGAGAGATAACGTTTCCCAAGCACGGGTTCTCTTTTCGCCTTCTCAATTTCGTAATCGACGGTAACGCTGAGAGAAGGTTATGAGTAAGACTTCACTGCCAGTGGTTATATGCACGTGGTCATGTGAGGGTTCTTCGAATGGGAGAGTGGACTCTCTTCACTCTCGACCGTACCAGGGCATTTGGGTGCAAAAACAAATACCGTTAGTAGATTTTCGCTTAAACCGTTATTAAGAAAACAATGAGCTGTTTAGATTCTCTACTGTCTTTCTGAAGTCATTTCATTAATGGATTTTCTTTATTTGTATTTTGTTTACGCAATACCTTACTATTCTATATAGATGTTTTTAGACTACTTATTACAATGTTATAAGTAGTTGAAGAATCCTGTTATAGTTTTTTTATTTATTATTATTATTATTATTGTTATTATTATTATTATTATCAGAAAGGGTTTTGTGGAGATTATAGTAATTTCAATGGTGGAGATCATAGCTAATTAAAGCTAGACCACCATGAGAGATCTCGAAACACTGGATGGCTGTTTCGCTCTATTGTGGGACTCCTCAGCATTTCTCATGTTCAATCACTAAGCAACAATGTTATCATACAGGTATAAATGAACATGGTATTAAAAAAGCGAAAGCGGGGTGGGGTTGAAGTTGGGATAGGTGAGAATAGAATCAATACTTCTAGCATGTAAACTTAATTTAAGTGAAAGAGACAGAGGAGGGATAATACATCAATTGATTTTAGTTAGAAAATAATATAAGAATTAATAATTTCCTGTTTCGGTTGTTGTTGTCGTTGTGGTTGTTGTTGCTATTGCAGTAACAAGACACATATATATATATATATATATAGAGAGAGAGAGAGAATAAATTAATGAAATGCATAATAGTAATAATGAATTCGAAAGCCAAAATGAAAATCAACCATTATGTGGTTTATGCCAAAATAATATGTTTTCTTTCTTTTTTCCTTTTTTCTTTCTTTTCTTTTTCCTTTATTCTTTCTTTTCTTTTTTCTTGTTGTTGTTTTTGTTGTTGAAATTATATCACGCAATATTTATATCTGTCGTATATTTATGTTACTTAGAAGTTGGATATATCTATATAAATGACCAAGGAATAAGTAACATGTACTTCCCTCTTTCTTGTAATATATGTGTGTCTAGAATGGAGGTTTAAAAACAAAACACCTAGCTCAATTATCGATGCAAATATTGAATGATGTACAAGCAGCAGCAGAAACAACAACAACAATAACAGCAAACAAGCAAACAAACCCAATTAGAGTATGACCTAAATATTCTTTTAAATTTTTGATTAAGATCATGAATCGATTGATGTTAGACCATCATTGATAACTTGAAAAAATGGTTTTGTTCTAGTGTAGGTTTGTTCAGCAATGGATTGATTGTGATTAAACATCAACACAATTGAATGTGGTCTTAGTGGTTTAGAGGTTAAATGTTCGTATGTGAGATTGAAGATGTTGGGTTTTAATCCTGTGGGCGGGTTTATGGATGTGTATTGCTGGAAAGTTCTATAAATGGATGAAATGGCCATCCACTGCTTCCAAGTTGTCAATGGTGGTCTAGTTTATATTGACTTACGAATTCAACTATTAAAATGATTAAAATATCCACAAACCCCTACTCTGATATTCATATTATTCTATCATGATTATGAATCATATTGTATTCAGATGAATTAACCTTATTTAAGGTAAATGTTGAATAATTTAATAAGATCCATTTTCATTAGTCCATGATTACAATCCGAATAATTCGATGCTATTTTTTCACGATCAGATTCGATCAACAGTAAACTAATTCCAATAGTTGAATTCATGAGTCGATGTAAGCTAGACCAACGAAGGAACACATGGAATCGCTGAACAGCCGTTTCGACCTAGTATGAGTGTCCTCAGTGCCAGTGTGTATCCACGATGCAGCTCGCGGGATTGGAACCCAGGACCTATCGGTCTCGCGCGCGAACGCTTAACCTATAGACTAGTGAGTCGGCCGGCATCCAACGGTGTTAATGTCTAACTTTCATCGATCCATGAATGGCTGCGCAACTATTCATCCATTTTACTGAGGTACATATTTGTCTCTAACTCGAAACGGATCTGACTTGATCGGTCACGGCTTCTCACTAGAACATTAGGACATCTTCATGGAGGCAATTACTATTAGGCACATGAAGATGGTTTATAGAGTTTGTGGTAATTTTATTGGTTGGATTGATGAGTTGATGTAAGCTAGAAAGAAACGGTCATTCAGTACTTCTAGATTTTCAATGATGGTCTCACTTATACTGACACATGAATTCAACTATTAAGATCTAATAACTCTTTAGAATTGTTGAAGATTAAGAAAAACCGAATAGCTGTTTTGTACAACTGTCATTGAATTGAATTGAATCAATTTAGATATATTGATATCGTATTGATACACCTACAAATTGACATCATTTGGGATAATTACAATGAGTGGTAACAAAGATATACAGTTCATTCTAATTAGGACTTGCCAATAATGTGTACCTTGATTTGTGTTGAACAATATACCTGAAGATATGGGTTTACACTTACATGTTTTAAATTATTGAAATATTGGAATCAGATATTAATATGATTATTCATCTACAGAGTCTTCAATATGATTTAACATAACGCTGATCATTGCGTAGAAAATCGTAATAAATTGTATCATACAAAGTACTGTCTTCATTTGTATCTCAGTCAACCAATTCCACACCTCGATTGGGAGGGTAGTCGTTGTAGTGTGATATGTACTCTTAATATCGATAGATATAAGTAATATATATCACTAATTGGTGGTAGAATGTCTGGTGACAAGGTTGAGGAAATCAACGACAAGAGGATCAGAACAAAGAACGTTTAGTGTGAAATACATACTACTAATTACTTATTCAGTTTATGAATATCACTCATCGGTACTGTCATTCAAATACATCTAACGCTACATCCATTGACACTTTAGTATTATTCAACACATCAGTAAGGATTCGAACCATATCATTCACCTTTATAATCTAAGATATAACCGTCTAACTATTCAAACTTTATGTAGACTTAAGAAAGACTATCTTCCTCTTGGTATTTAGTTACTTACTTACTTACTCCTGTTACTCTTAGTGGAACACAGGCCGCCGACCAGCATTCTCCAACCCACTCTGCGCTGGGTCTTCCTTCCTATTTCTATCCAACTTTTGTTCATTCATCTCGTGTCTGTCTCCATTTCCCGGTGTAATGTGTTCTTTGGTCTTCCTATTCTCCTTTGGCTTTGGGGATTCCATGTGAGGGCTTGCCTTGTGACGCAGTTGGGTGATTTTCTCAATGTGTGTCCTATCCACTTCCAGCACTTCTTCCTGATTTCTTCTTCCGCTGGGATCTGGTTTGTTCTTTCTTAGTTACTTAAATGTTAACCTTATTTACTCAACACTAATTACTGATGAAACACAGTATCGGTTATCGATCAATGATTCTATCGTTTAATTAATATAGATAACTTTAAATGTATTCAAGTGTTACATTTTCTATTATCGAATTAGAAATTGTAACAAAATAAAGCAATACTATTGATTAGGATACAAAAACAAGAAGAAATCAATAATCACTATGATAAAAGTGATCATTTTGTTTAATGTGTAAGTAAAGATGGATAGTAGCTAAGAGTGGAATGAAGGATACACGTTTCGTCCTATTTCAGACTCGTCAACCGGATTTATCTACATAACAGAATTTTTGTTCACTCCGGGACTCGAACCCATTGCATCATTTCATTACCCACTTAACTACTAAATCTTAATCAATAGGATGATTCAAATAAACAATACTTTTTCCTATTATCAAATATTTTCAGAAGGGGTTTTGTGAAGATTTTAATAATTTCAATGGTTGACATCGAGTGAATTGAAGGTAAACCACCATGAAAACCCTCGAAGCACTGGACGGTCGTTTTGTCCTAATGTGGGACTCCTCAGCAGTGCGCATCTAAGATACCGCCCACCGCGAGATTCCAACCCATGACCTATCAGTCTCGCACGCAAGCGCTCAACTATTACACCACTGAGCCGGACGACACCCAATAATGTTAATGTCTAACTTCAACCAATCCACGAAATTGCGCCACGATGCACCAATGTCTTCAGTGAGCTAATATCTCACAACAGATCTGGTTGAACTCCACTGGTAATGGCTTTTCATTAGAACCTCAGGAAATGCGTCTTAAAGTCAGTCACAAGTGAGGAGTCTCATACTACCAGGATGAAACGGCCGTCCAGTGCTTCCATGTTTTCCATGGTGATCTAGCTTCAATGGACTTATGATTTCAACGATTGATATTATTAAATATTTTTCTTTAAAATGGCCTTATTTCTCTTTATTTCTCTGTCTATTCATTAAAACAATAACAACAACAAAAAGAAGAAAAAGAAAAACTTCATTGGTCATTTTTCTTTATTATTTTTCTTTATTTTCATCATCAATAAGAAAATTAATATCTACACATCATACGAAGATAATTTACCCAATTTTGTTTCTCTTAGAGATAAGAGAAACCATGTGGTGGTGGTTGGGTTATTTTCACATTTGTAGCCTTCATATAAATTGAGAATGACCTTTCAATGAATTAGGTGTATTTTTCTTTATGTTTTTCGTTTTTTTCTATAATAGATATTCTCTGAAGAAGTAGCTTACACTAAGTTACGTAACATCTAATGTTTTCCTATTTATTTACATATCTACAAATGTATTATTATGATTATTCATTTATTCATTTGGTAATTGAGAGTTTTTGACATGATAGCTCATGTCAGATCGTGATGAAAACCAACTATCCCCACCACCGCCCTTAAATTTGATTCTTAACCCTGAACCATCAATTGTAAATCATAATCTTTAATTGTCACACAGGTTTATAACCCTCATCTGGTTTGGTGAACAGTCTCCAAGTCACTTCAATGTTACACATAGGTCATCCATAAATTATACGTCTTATCAATAAATCAATTAGAAAACAAAACACACACCGTATTTTCACTGATTTCACTAATGATATCGATTTGGTTAACCAAATACATTAGAATTCCCTTGGGAAGAAAGAGAGAGAGAAAGAGAAGAGAGTTTACAGAACAAAAAGAAAACCGATAAATGTTTTCATATCATTGATATAATTAGTCAAATCTTTAAGTTTGTTATCAGAAGAGGGAGGGATTGTTGTGGCTATTATAAAGATTTTTTAGTAGTTGAGCTAGATGAAAAATAGAAAATATGGAAGCATTGGAGGGATGTTTAGTCCGAGGATGAGGAAAGACTCAATATCTTGACATAACACATATGAAATAAAAGTGAACAATGATTCCATTAGAACCACAGACTTCATAATTAGGTTGAAAGGGAACGGAAGTGAAGGGATAGTATCGAATCATCATCATCATCATCATCATCATCATCATCATCATCATCATCATCATCATCATCATCATCATCATCATCATCATCATCATCATCATCATCATCATCATCATCATCATCATCATCATCATCATCATCATCATCATCATCATCATCATCATCATCATCATCATCATCATCATCATCATCATCATCATCATCATCATCATCATCATCATCATCATCATCATCATCATCATCATCATCATCATCATCATCATCATCATCATCATCATCATCATCATCATCATCATCATCATCATCATCATCATCATCATCATCATCATCATCATCATCATCATCATCATCATCATCATCATCATCATCATCATCATCATCATCATCATCATCATCATCATCATCATCATCATCATCATCATCATCATCATCATCATCATCATCATCATCATCATCATCATCATCATCATCATCATCATCATCATCATCATCATCATCATCATCATCATCATCATCATCATCATCATCATCATCATCATCATCATCATCATCATCATCATCATCATCATCATCATCATCATCATCATCATCATCATCATCATCATCATCATCATCATCATCATCATCATCATTCATTCATTCATTCATTCATTCATTCATTCATTCATTCATTCATTCATTCATTGTCCTAGTTCTCTTGTGTTCTGCATTCTGCCACTGGGCATTTCACTTTCGATTGATGATAAATACTACTTATATTTGTCTCTATCAGTATCACACATCCCTTAAGTATTTTAATGAATAGTTTTACAACTAAATCTGTAAGACTCACAAAAATGGAAATAATCCAAAAGGAACTGATATATATTATCACTGAGAGGAAGAGGAATTCGGGTATGTTTGGGAAACACTTTGGTTTTGTATAGTGAATCTAATCTGAATTGAATATCTACCATTAGATTAAAAGGGACAATATAAAGATGCAAATAATTAGTTTGTTTTAGAAATTTCAAATTACATAACAATACTACTTATTTCTTCGATAGATTAGTAGGCAATAGGCAATATTCTATTTTTAATGAAACTATAGTTTATGGCTGACCTTTGAGTGACCCCAAAATGACCTTGAGAATGCCGACCTAAGTACTAAAGCTAAATGAGGGTTAAAAACCGTTGTGAAGAATAAGAAGATTATGATTTACAGTTGATGGTTAAACGTTGAGAATTAGATTCAGATGGGGGGGGTAATTACGAACTGATATAAGCTATAATGGTAAAACGTTATTTAGTCAAATGGACGAATGAAGTTCGCGCCAATATCCAAGACCTGTTATCTTATACGTGATTGGTTCGTCTATAAATGATAGTCTTACTAGTGAATCATTTGACTTAAAACATGTTGATTTAATAAAGTAATAGTTTGGCATAAAGAAGTTTCAAGAAAGACGAACATATTTTCATTTGAAGATCCCTAAAACACAAGTCATCCAATTACTAATCAGTGGTAAACTAGTAAACAACTCGTGGTTCTTCAAAATATCAGTTACGGTAATGAATAGATCAGTTCAGTCAGTCAGTCAATCAGCTACAACGCAGAACCAGGTACCTATATGCATCAGTCAAAGTTGCCGTCCCTCATTAGCACAGCAAGATGAACAGTGGATTCATAAAAGTAGTTGATCCAATGGTAGTAATATATAAAGGAAAATTGCATATAAAGACATGATACAGTAAGAAAGAATAAGTTCGCGGAAAGAAAGATATGAAACGATTTCAATCTCATAGTTTAAGGGAAGACAGAGAGTGTATACACCTACGCTACTATGATTGATTCTGAGCCATGTGACCCAGAGTCTTCAACCATTGGTTACGATAGTCGCTCGGACCCAAACCAAGTAGTCTGCATTTACCATCATGGCTCAGACTAGAAGTTAGTGACTTCAAGCACTGATTATATATAAATATTTATGATGAAAGCAACATATCATAAATTATATTGAATTTGGGACAACTGTCTTGTTATACCGATCAATTATGAGATCGTAGCTCAAAATGATTCGTGCTAAAGTCCCGGGTAATGACGATAGGTGACAAGTGTACAGATGCTGCCAATAAGAATGTCAGTTATTTATGGTGTATAGCCACTTCTAAACATGAAATAAAATCTTTAATAAACATGAACCATAATTCCCTTTGAAACCTCTCTCGGGTCACTGCCGGTCTCAAGCCTGGATAAAGAAGGACGTTTGGGCATTGGGTTATCGACCACATCCAGTAGAAAACTGACTCTTTAAAACGCTATACATGACCCATGGAACTTCTTTGGTCTTAAAGTATCTTATTGCATATTTGAGCATCTGGACATTCATAACGGACAATATACCATTTATTTATATATTAATTGGTCTATATGTAGTTGCTGTAAATTGTTCAATAGTACTTCGAACTATGATATACACTGAAACCTTACATTTCTAATCACACTATTACTACTCACATGAAATAAGTAACAAGAGTAAAATAGCACAAATTATGATTTCTACATTAATTGTTGAATTCATGAATCAATTGAAGTTTGACCACCATGAAAAACCTGAAGTCACTTGACGGCCGTTTCGTTCTACTGTGAGACTCCTCAGTAGTGCAAATCTACGCACCGCTCCATGGGATTCGAACCCAAAACATCTTAGTCTCACACGCGACTACTTAACCTATAGATCACTAAGTCGGCCGACATCTAACGATATTCATGTCTAACTTGAACTAATCCACTAATCTATGTTAAAAATGATCCTATTATTATTATGATCATCATTTCATTGTATACATTGTACATGTATATACATATTACTTACTTTTTCAATAATTCAATGGTTATAAGTTCCAGCTAAAGATCTTCTTTGTTGAAACATGTGAATGATAGAAACTTTTAGATTATCGATGAAAATATATAGTCAACTTTGAAACATTTCTCAAATATGTTCATTATGTACTTGTGTGTGTGTGTCTGTGTCTGAGTTTTTGCTGTTCGTTGTACAAGTATATTTATGTTTTTTTCTTTTCTTTTTTCTCTTCTCTTCTTTTCTATTTTCTCTAACTTATGAAAATATTCAACAAAAATGATGAATATGACTGTCAACGTTGATGATAGTGACGGTGATGAAGATGGTGATGTTAATAATTATGATAATGTCTAAACTCTTATGATCAACTAAGAGTTGCGTAATCATTATGGGATAATGATAATGTTTATAACTATAACAGAATAGAATTGATTCATACACCGTAGTAACAATCAGGATATTGAATGAACAAATAAGAGTTAAATGAATATGATTATAATAGTGAGTTCAAATATTAGTAAACAGGACAAAGTTATGTATTCATCACATACTTACATACATGCATACACACATACATGCATAGATACATGCCTAAAGGAATTTATCCATTTAACTGTTGTTTCCAGGTATGTTTTAAATGTTATTTCTTAATTTATCAACTTCTGATAGGTTAAAATGTTGATTTTTATATTTTTAGTTTTTAGTTTCTAATTTGATTGGATAATAATAATAAATAAATATGGTCATAGACATGGTGTTTTATATAAACAGAGGAAAATATATACTCGAAAGAAACTGATTTACGCCTGTTACTCCTTGTGGAGAAGCATGGACTGTTCATTAGCAAACTCTATCCAAATATATCCTGGGTAATTCTTTCTAGTTCGTTCCAGTTGCTATTCATCCTTTTCATATCTGTTTCCATTTTGTGACGTAATGTGTTCTTTGGCTTTCCTGTTTTCCGTTTCCCTTCAAGATTTTTAAGGTATCGCTTGCTTCGTGATGGAGTTTGGTGATTTCTTCAATGTATGTTTTATCCACTCCCAACATCTTTTCCTAATTTCTTCTTCAGATGAAAGTTGGTTTGTGCTTTCCACAGTTACCACTCATGAAGGACTATAGACCGCCTACCAGCATTTTCCATCCAACTCTATTTTGGACATTATTTTCAAATTGTTTCCAGAGCGAATTGAGTGAAGAAATTTCGTTTGATTACCTTTCCGTCATGACTACATATATGTATATATTCTGATTAGTGTCTTTTTAGCAGAGATATTTTCTAGGAGACAAAGTTGCCGACACCCTCGTCTAACCCTGATTCTTGACCCAAACTTACTTTAGTTAATGTAGTGAACAAGAACAAAAGTGGGGAGAACTGGATATGTTGCGATACAGCAATACAGAATATCTTGATAAAGTCTGACTACCATACAGTAAATACTTCATATACAATATATTACTTAATTGTCTCATAATTGATTATTCCTACATTATCATGCCAAACGCTATCTGTTCTCGTTATCTTCTCTTCGAATTTTTTCAACCTTCTACCTTCAGACATTCCACTTTCGATTGATAATACATACTACTACTTATATCTATCGATATCAGTAGCACACCCAACATTGAGATAAAGGTAAATTGGTTTTGTTTTACTTGTATCTTTCCATTGATATTTAGGGCTGTAGTTGATCAGTCTCATGTTGGCATATGTGTATCCTGTGCGGATTGCCTCGATATAGTCTTAAGTCACAAGCATCTTAAGCAAAGATGGATAGTGGCTAGAAGTGGAATTGAGGACGCAAGTTTCGTAAAACAACACCAAGTGAATTTAAACTACATCCATATGCTCAAGCAGGTGGATATCAGGACTCAGTAACTAAGTGGATAACGCGATGGCGCTTGGAGCGACTGGAACTAGGTTCGAGTCCCGGAGTGACCATCATTGCTGGATTGCAGATACATCCAGCTGACGAGTCCCAAATAGGACGAAAAGCGCGTCCTAGATTCCGCTGCTAGCCACTATCCATCCGTGATTAAGATAAGGGATGTGTGTAAATTTTTCAAGATTAATATTTGTTATAACAATGACTGACTTTAAGTGTAGACCAATTGAGAAATCGGCTTCATTAAATAGTGGGACACTTGAACTATTCACATCTATGAATTGAACTCAAGGTAGTCTGAAATAGTGGTGAATACATTCAGTTTAAATAACCTGGGTGACTTTTATAGATTCGACATCTCAACTTTTGTTTGTGACATCATCAGTTGTTATTCTTTGACACCTCAGTGATGTCTAAAATTGATCAATACTTCTCGGTACAACTTTGTAAATTTCTCTCAAGATTACTCATAAGTAATCATATGATTACCAATTGAACAATAGGTTTGTAGATATTGGTGAATAACATAGTTTTAGGATATAAGCCAAACAGTTCCAAATTCGATGATCATTGGAGTCGTGTATAGACAGTGAAGATCGGATTCTCTCCTTGGTGATAATTCAAACTTAATTTTGACCAACCTTAATTAGGGTAGGTTTATTCTCTTGTATTGATTGCTTCAATATTTCTGTTTTGTCAAAAGATTTTAAGAATAAATAAACTATGATCAGAGAGATGTTTTATGGAGATTGTAGTAATTTATTAATTGAATTCATGAGTCAATTGAATTTAAAGCACTATGGAAAACCTGGAAGCACTGAACGGCCGTTTTGTTCCATTGCGAGACTCATAAGCACCGCGTACCCACGACAAGCATCGCGAGGTTCGGACCCAAGAGCTGTCGGTCTCATGAAGGCGTACGCTTGAACTCAAGACCACTGAGCCGGATGGCATCC